TGGCATGTGGTGCTGGGGGATTGAACCGCGGTCCCTGTGCTTTGCTAAGCTTGTTCTAAGTAGGTGCTTTAGACCACTGAGCCATCTCACCAGCCCGGAATGCTGGTCTTCTAAGACACAGTCCGAATCATTAAGTTGCTTCTGTTTTTGGTGGTTAGTTTTAGGTTTCTGACCAAAAGAAACTTGGCTGTTTTAGACCTAGAGTTAATGTGATCAAGAAAGTCATGGCAAGAGCATGAACAGGCCATGGATCTGTCTGCAGTGTCGATGAAGCCGGCCTGAATTCAGGCAGTGAGCGCCTGCTCTCATTACCAGAGCAGAATGCGAAGTCTGGCAACGGAGGCCCTGGGAGGACACGTTGGTCCCGTGATGCTCTGACTCTCAGCATCTGTTTTAGTCGGAGCCACCCTCCCGCGCTCACCTCCTGCATCTGCGTAGAATGGTGCTCCAGTTTGTCAACATGCTGCTTAAGTTTTACATTTTTATGATTTTCTTCATCCAATTTGACCTGAAGAGCACTCATTTGTTCCTGCAACACAGATTTCGGCCACCAAATTTCTTTTCATGGAATCTCACATTTCTTTTTTTCTTTAAGGAGATACCACAATAAAGTAAGATAGCACTGCAAAACCACATACAAACATTAGCAAAAGCCTGTTTTGAGGCAGACAACTTCAAATGGCTATCCTGATCAATTTCCTGTGTTAGAATTATATGTGTGGTTTATTAAACTGGATAATTTAACATGCAAATGGAAGAGGATCCAGCCACAGAGCCCTCCTGAGACTGGGAGCAGAGCGGCACAGTTACCTCTGCAGAAACGCCTCCATTCTTCAAGAGGGCAAACTGCTGGGATACACAGTGGGCCAGTACTCCAAGTTGTACTGGACAGTAAAAAAAAATTGTTCAAGTTATCAAACTGACAGAACTCCAAGAAAGTATAAGCTCACTATGTATAGCAAATGCACTAAAAGCTGTCTAACTTTGATCTCTGGTAAGATTCTGTCAAATATTTTAACTTCTTTTAAGAGACAGAGTCTCACAAATCAGTTTTGAAACATGAAGCTAGCAGTAAAATAGTCATCTTACACACAAGGGCATGGAAGCCCAGAGAAAGAATGATTTGCTTAAGACAGCAAAATGAATTAGAGGAACAAGAGTGGGCGGGCTTCCAAGACAAGGATCCTTACAGACCTACACCTAAAAGATATGATTTAATACTAAGTATGTTTGAACACTGCAAGTTATAAGCAGTTAAAATAATGAGACAAAGAAAAGTTACTTAAGTGACTGTCTAATTATTTGCTTTCTCCTAAAATGAAGCATTACCTGCACGGCTCTGAGCTCTTCAGCAATGGCCTCGAAAGCCTGCTCACTCATCTCGGGGGGCACCGGCTCACTTAATATATCATGATCTAATCCGCTGCAATTCGGAGTGCGGGCAGAACCTACTTCAGGACTTAATTTTGGTACTAATCGAGAACGAAGTTGATAAGCCTTGGTTGGCGTAGTTATAATCTGAAAAAAAAAAAAAAAAAAAGATTATTGGCAGCAACATTAGCATATGTAAAAATAACAGTATATGTAGCTATTTTATGAACATAGAAGATAAAATTCAACACACTAAAAAAGGGAAAAATAAAAATGTCCTTGAGAAACAGGCCCAAATAAAATTAAGAGTATGGGTATTAAAAATGAAACTTTGGGGTCAGCCAGATAGTTCAGTGGATTAAAACGCCTGCTTAGGCAGACGCAGGGACCAGGGTTTGGTCTCCAGCCTACTCTGCTACCCCTGCCCCTGGGCGCACTGAGGCAGCGACTGAAACTGGGTGTTGTGGCACATGCCTGCACTCCCAGCGCTTGGGAGCTGAAAACAGGAGAATCACTGAATTTTATCTATGTAGTGAGACCCTGTACTAAAATTAAAAACGGGGGGCCGGGGAGATAGCTCAGTAGAGTAAGCGCCTGCCTGGCAAGTGCAAGGTCCTGAGTTTAATCCCTGGTACTGCAAAAAAAAAAAAAAAAAAAAAAAGTTTTAGGCCGGGGAGATGGCTCAGTGGAATGTTTCCCTGGCAAGCGCAAGGGCCTGAGTTCAATCCCCAGTTCCAAAAAAAAGGAAAAAGCTGGCCACAATGGTACATGCTTGTAATCCCAGCAAAAGCATGCAGATTATAGGTTTGAAGCCAGCCTGGATAACTAAGATTCTGTGTCAAAATAAAATGATAGGGGCTGGTGAGATGGCTCAGTGGTCTAAAGCACCTACTTAGAACAAGTTTAGCAAATCACAGGGACCACAGTTCAATCCCCCAGCACCACAAGCCAGCCAGTCCCGCCCCCTGGTGGGCAGAGCTGCCCCCCCCATTAAAAAAAAAATTTAAAAAAAATAAAATAAAATGATAGGGCCAGGGGATAGTTCAGCAATGCAGCACCTGTCTAATAAGGTTCTGAGTTTGATTCCTGGTACCAAAATCAAAGTAACTGACTGTCTGTCTGTCTATGTGTCTATCTACCTACCTGGACAGGCATACAGCCCAGATTTTCCTGGATTTAATCCCTAGTACCACTAACCCCTGCCCACCTATCTTTACAGGAAAAAAAAAAAATGTAGTTTAAAACTGTGAAATATCCTTATAATAGATTCTTACATGGAGTCAAAACTAACCAAAAAATAGAAAAGCAAACAAGTGTAACTATGTCAAGCACGTTAAACAAAACTTTTGGATTCTCTATCCTTGTACCCTTCATTAAATCCAATGACTCTATCAGAATAAAAAAAAAAAAAAAAAAAAAAAGCAAACAAAAAGAAAGCTTTTCTTTCATGCATAAGATAAACTAAAATACTACGTTATACAGGAAATAGAGGCTCAGAAGTTAAGAAACTCCAAGGTCAGTGACAGATTAGAACTTGATTCCCAATGCTTATTCTTTGGTGCCCAGCCTGGAAGGGATGTCACTGGAGTCTGAAGACAAACCATACCGGCCCTGCACTAATAGTAAAAGAGGGGCCGGGGTCAGAGGAGCAAGTGCTTGCATGGAGGGGCCTGAGTTCAATCCCTGGTTCCGCAAAAAAAAAAAAAAAAAAAAAAAAAGAAAAGAAACATGTGACTTCAGAAGCATACAACTACCTTAAGTGTTTCAGCATGAATTTTATTCAGTTGAGAAACCTCTTGCCGCTTGCACGCTTTTGTTGCTTCTAAAAGGTTTTCAAGATTAAGGTTTGCTTTTCGCAAAGACTGAATCTCTGATTCCGATTCTAGCTGCTTCTTCCTAAAAGACATTGTAAAACTGAGTATTGGAGAAAGTGCTACACAGCGGGCAGTTACACACAATGTTACAGCTCTTTCTTATTCTCTCAGAACATCACCCTTCATGATTGTTTTCAGGCTGGTAAAACACGGCGCAGGGACTGACAAGGACCTGCGGTACTCAGTTAGCAGGGCGGACAGTGCAGATGCCAGAGACCACAGGTCTGCGACAGTGCCATCTATATCACTTTTAGAGCAAACATTCTTTATACTTTAGGATAGGATTTGTCTTCGTTGTACAATGTGGCTTATCTTTTTTCTTCTATACAATATGCACTAAGAATTTTAATAAGCCTATAATTTTTTAAAATCCTAATTTAGCTCATAACAACTGTGGTTTAAATGTGGTAATGACCTTGGTGTGGTAGTGCACACTTGCACTCCCAGCACTTCAGAGGCTGAGGCAGGAGGACTGCCAGGAGTTCAGGGCCAGCCTCGGCTACATAACCAGATTTTGTCTCAAAAAAACATGTAAACAAAAAGTGGTAATGAGACAAAGAATTTGCTATGTCAGTTCAAGTAACACTCACCTCAACAAGAGTGCACTGCTTGAAACGTTCCTATTGTGTCACTCATTACATACAGAACAAAGAAGTAAAAGACAAAAGGCCCCTTTTCTTTACGTCAAGCAAGTTGGTTCTTGGGAGGAGAGTTTAATACAGAAAGTAAAGTGCCCGGTGAGATTCACAAGGTTAACACTGATACAAATCAACACTGAGGACACAGGTGAGTACAGATGCAGTTACGCTTTACCGGGTTAGCTCTTTGAATTCTTCACATTCTTGCTTTGAGTTATTCAGCTCTGTCTGAACTTGCAGCAGCTGCGCTTTTAACTTCTCAACATTTGTGAATGAACTTGGTTCCCTCAGAGCTTTGGGAGAAAGTTCCAGACAATCTGGTAATATGGAAACAATGTCTCTGAAAGAGGAAAATCACAACACACACCCGCTCTTGGTGCTGGTGACCCAGGGCCATCTCAACGAGCTACACCCCAGTTCTTTTGTGTAATATTTTCATTTTAAGGCAGAGTCTCACTAAGTTGCCCAGGCTGGGTTCAAACATGTGATTCTCCTGCCTCAGCTTCCCAGAGAGCTGGGATTATAGGTATGTACCATCACACCTGGCTACAAAATACATTTTCTAAGTGCTCTGATAGCCATTAATTTGGATGCATCAAGAAGATAAAGAAGCTGGAATGAGGACTCTAAAATAGAAGGACCTCATTAGGAGATACAGGATCTAACAGTGTGCGAGGGAGGCAAGCCGTGTTAGGAAGCAGAGAGGCTATAGGGTGGACAGGCAGAGCGGGGGCAGCACCTCTCCCAGCAGGTAAGAGCACCAGCAAGGACAGCCACCCGCACAGCACTGGAGGGAGAAGCATGATGGTGCTGAACTTGCAGGAATGCGTGTTAGCAGCCAGGCTGGACAGATGAGTTATTCAGAAAAGAGGAGCACGCTGGAAGAACTTCGTCTCATCATGGTTAGAAAACAGACTTCAGGGCCTGCCTTGAACAGAACATCAGAGTCTGCTGAGTCCCAGCATGGAAATAGCAGGTAAATGCTGGGTAGAGAACATGTTTAGGCACTAGGCTCAAAAGGCCAACAAAATAGAGTATTGCAGGGAAAAAGAAATCTATGACTATTTTCTTCTTATATTCATTAGCTGACAATATTTACTATTCTGTGATTTGGAAAGGAAAACATTAGTAAGTAAGCTCCTTTTTGTAACATAAAAAATAAGTACTTGGGTAAGCAATGAGCCCACCCGGTCTGGAGGCTAAAATGAAGACGCACTGCAAAGCACTAACAGTGTCCTTTCCAACAGTCTCTCCCTGTGCCAGGTATGGTGGCCTCCTCTTTTAATTCTAGTGCTTGCTGAGGCAGCAGGGCAGCTGTGAGTTCGAGGCCAGCCTGGGCTACGTAACAGAGACAGGGTCTCAGCCCTTCTTAGAGGAATCATTTCCTACCGTTATCGTTTCTGTCTGTGTCAGATGCTTCAGAGAAAGCTTCTTCTAGCTTGGCAATGGTCTGAGCATCCATTTCATGGGCTCTCTTCACAGGTTCTAACAACCTCAGTCTTCTGTTTTCCTCCCTGAGGGAGTGGTTTTCCATGGCATACTTTGCAACTCTGGGGTGGTGCTCGATCTGCAGCACACAGTAAGGACACAATTACGAAGCACGTACAAACACATCCTTCCTGAGCTGCTACTCTGCTGCAAACACTGCGTAGCAAGCGGCACTGCGGTCAGGCCGAAAGCCACACTCCCTGCACTCTGCTTACACTGTGTTTCCTCGTTCTTTCATCCAGGCACCTGGGGAGAGCAGCGAGAGAGTGCACGACGTGGCAGGGTCTCACACAAGGGCCACACGTGGAAAAGAATAAGGAAACCTTCTGTCCCCTCAAATCAAAATGCCCACGACACATTAAATGAAAAAGTCATAGTGCAGAACAGTGTAAAAAAATTAAAAAGTATTTCTGTGAGTCTGAGCAGGCGTCACAAATTGGAAAATGATATGAAAAGCTGAACAGCAATATGTTTCATTTTAGAACTAGGTGCTTTCATTTACTTATTCATCATCTCCAAAAAAAGGAAAAAAACAAGCACAAAACTTTAAAGGCTCAAGTCTGAAGAGACTGCTGACGTGGGGGGTGGGGGGAAACACAACTACTATGGACACACACGCACACAGACACACTTGGGCCTGCTCAGGCTGGCTGTGTCTCGGCAACAGCAATACAGGTCTTTTGTTTTTTTCTTCAGGCATTGGGAAGGGGCCAGGAACCAAGCTGCTGGCCACTCATTTAAACTGCTTGCACCATATTCAGCGCAGGTGAGTGGTGCGCTTTGCAGCACTCTAACCTGCGGCCCCTGTGAGCACTCACCTGCTCCCGCAGCCCCTGGATCTCAGCCCTCAGCTCGGACAGCAGGCGGTCCTGCTCCTCAGCCAGGAAGCTGCCCGGGGGCTCCTTGAGGAGCTTCTCCAGGCGCACGATGTAAGCCTCTCGCAGCTTCACAATCATTTTATAGGACTGAATAAACTTTTCCTTTTTGAGGATGAGGTCTTCTAATTGCGTAATTTTTTCTACCAGAGACTTAAGAAAGTCATAGTTTGGTTAAACATGACAAATAAGCTTCCCTAAACTGTTAGAAACCCAGCCACAAATACTATGGATTTGATCCCAAAATTTAATTATGGTTTGAACCTGAGGTCAAACCATAATCTAAAATTTGAGCCTTCATTTCCTTTAGTAACCTGGGGCCATCCAACATAGTAGGGCACTAAAAACCTTACTCAAAGACCTTGGACCCCCTGACTTATTTGTTTCTTACCTTCTTTTCCTGTTTGGATTTCTTAAAGTGTAACATCGCCTCCAGGAAACACTCCTTGTATTTACTGTTCTCTTTCATTGATCCAGTAAGAAAGAGAAAAGGGAGAAAATGACTTTTTCTGAAATTTTGCAATCAGAAGTCTCACTTAGTCTCTTCCTACCTCCGGGCGGGAAGCCATCCTGGGGGCTCTGCACAGCAGCAAGCTGGGCCAGCTGCTCTCGGAGCCGCTTCACTTCAGCTTGCAGCTGGCTCACGTTCCCCTGGGTATCTTCATTCACCACCGCCTGTCCCAGAATGCACAAAGGGTCAAGCACTGCTCTGGCAGTGGCACAGTCCTGTGTCTACACTTGCTGTATGCACTACAGTGATGAACAAATCTGCTTTAGTGGGCACAAGGCCACCAGAATCAGTGTGTGGGAAGCACGAAGGCTACCCTTCCCGGGCCGTGGGCCCAGAGCAGGGATGGCGAACCTTGAGCATTCACAGCAGCCTCTCCTCAGCCCTGACATCGTGCCTAAAGACCTCTTTCCCTCTAGCGTGATGCCCAGCCCCGCACAGGCCAGAGGAGTGCATGCCTTGGTGGGCGTCACTTCTGGCGTTGGCTGCTAAGGCTGAAGGCCCAGCCATGAAAGGCACAAGGACCTACCAGCAGGGCTGAGCCCAGCCCTTGGCACGGAGAGCCCTCTCTAGGATGCCGACCTTCGTTTCCTCACAGCCCATTGCATCTTCATCTAGACACCCCCCAAACCCTCACATACTCATGAGGGCTTTCTCAAGTGTGACCGCACCACGGGGCTGCTACAACTAACTGAGCGGCTAGGAGGTGGGGCCTGTGCAGAGGCAAGGTCATTGGATATGACTGAACAGCAGGTCTCCCTCCCTCTGCTCACTTGCTTCCTGCTGCACGGTTCTCCTCCACCCAGCCCTTTCCACCAGGTCTTTTTGCCCTGGAGTCAGCTACCTATGGACTAAAAACAGAAGCAAAAGTATAGAAACCCCTCCTCAGTCACAGGCTTGGGCACTGTGCAACAATAGCAGACCGCTGGGGGGCACGGCTGGTCTGTATCCTCCTGCATGGAAGAAAGGTCTTGGTGAGAAGGCCTCCAAGAGACAAGAAGGCCCTTGAGCAAATGTGTCCCTACAGTGTGGGGCGGCTGTAGAATGGAGGCAGGGAGTACATGGTACTCTGCACTTCCTGTTCAACTTACACGTAATTCTAAAAAAGCTAGAAAAGTTTATTCATTCAAAAATTAATTTTAAAAAGGTCCACAAAAAATTAGGGAGATAGCTCAGCAGTCTAAGCACCTGCCTGACAAGAGCAAGGACTTGAGTTCAATCTCTGGTACTGCATGCTGTGCCAGCCTTGGAATCCTAGCCATATTCTGCAGCAAGGTCACACTTCAAAAGGCCCAAAACCGAGCACAGTGGTGCACACTTATTATCCAGCACTAGGGAGGCTGAAATAGGAGGATCACTAGGAACTGCATAGCGAGACCCTGTTCCAAGTAAATTTTTAAAAAGAGTAAATTAAAAAAATGGACCCACAAAACTTACATGGGTAATGACAAGCCCCAACAGCTAAACACCAAACAGGCCAAAGGAAAACCACTGCCTGTGATGCATGCCAGCAGTGCAAGCACCTGCCTTTTTGTCTCGGGTCCTGCCTGCCCACAGGAAACGTGAATGGCTCAGCCGTCAGCAAGTCCCCGACCCCCAAGCACTTGCCCTGGTGGGCGGCGGGGCTGACTGCTGACAGACTCGTATGAAGCTCTGAGTTTCGTGGAGCAGCTGGAACACAGGCGTTTATCCAAGAAGCATGGAACAGTTACCAGCTGGGTTGTACAAGAAGTTTTCTGACTGCAAGGGGACACCAACATCAAAGAAGCTTCTCGCACGTAAAATACGGAATCTTTGGCAATGTAAACAGCTTGAAAGGTAAAATGTGTCAGTGCTACCAAAGTACTTTCACACAATTCCCTCCCTTTGATACACATCACGTGTGTGAGGGGAAGGTGAGCGCAGGCACCCACGGGATCTGCTAGCACTGTGCAGGCAAATGTATTCTCTCCCCAAACCGGCAGCAGAGGAAACACTTTGCCTTAATAAAGAGCAGTAAAGCGGTAATGTCCATAAGACAAAATCTAGCTCTCAAATTACTTCTATGAGTAAGGCTCTGGGTACAATACCCACTGCAGTGGTGGTGGTGGGGAGAAATCTTTCATACAGTTAAGGGAAGCTTTGCTAGAAAATAAGTGGTTGGTAACAGTAAGGCAAACCCAAAAATGGTACACTTAGAGCTTAAGTATTTTCCTAACTTACTTACTACATCACAGTATATACTCAGGTATTTTACCTTGTTTTTAATCAGTTTGGCTCTTTGAGCAAAATTAAGCGTTGATAATGTTTCTCCAAAACACCTGGATCCAGGATGGACATTTGCAATAATGGCTGTTTTGGCGTTACCACCAAGAGAGTCCTGTTCAATGATATGAATGATACATGTTTTTAGGGGCGAGGTCAACACACACACACACACACACACACACACACACACACATATACAGAGTCTTTTTGAGGCAAGGTCTCACTATGTAGTTCAGGTTGGCCTCCAACTCTTTGTAGCTCAAGGTGGCCTCGAACTCACAGCAATCCTCCTGCCTCAGTCTCCCACGTACTGGGACTACAGGCATGTACCACCACACCCAGCCAACAAGATCTTTTTACATAAAGAAAAGGTATATTCTTGCCCTCTGTGCTGAGATTAGTCTCAGGGAGAACGACAGAAAGGCCAACCTTACCCGTAGTAAGAAGGTAAGCTTGGAGTCTCTGTAGCAGACATGTCTCTGTTTCCCATTGCCCACATCAACCAGCGCAGTGATGACTTGTCCCAGGCAGCTCAATGACCGGTTGATGTTACCTGCTTCCTGAGGCATTGATTGGGGAAAAGAACAAAAGTTTAGGTGCGCTAGGTACTTCTGGTGTTTAAGCTCAAATAGATCTATCAAGTGATACTAGGCTAGAAAGGCAGCTTAGGGACAGCAACAGTCCAAGATAGTTGACGAGCTAGAAAGAGTATGTTCAGCTGCCCTCTGGCCTCCTCCTATCGGTTGTTCACTGTAACTTGAGAATGCAGCGGACACCAGCATTCAGTAGAGACTGTGCCTCAGCCTTCCCGTTTGCGTCATTTCCCAGGCCAGCCAAGTACAGGAATCCCTTGTAAGCGGGGCATAGCCGCAAGCCCCAGATCCCAGGCAGCCACAGGCCCTGAGGACCAACGACTGACGCCCACAGGGTACTGTCTAGGCCACTGCAGGCCGTGGAGCAGCGAGTCAGGCGTCTTCAGTGGCACTTCGGGCTCATGCATTTCCGACGCACAATGGGTTTACTGGAACATAATCCCATTACTATCCCGAGAAAGAGCTATACATTTTGGTTTTGCCATTCTCTATTTGTGTCAACATAAATCACAAGATCTTTCTATTGTATCTCAATAGAAATGTGAGCCCTGGGCTGGGGATGTAGCTCAGTGGGACAGTGCTTGTCTAGTACATGCAGGTCTCTGCATTCCATCCCTAGCACCCAAAACAAAACTGCTGCAAAACACGAGCCTTGCCCACGATGTCGCTCAGTGGCGCAGTGCCTGCCTGTAAGCAGGAGGTCCTGAGTTCAATTCCTAGTACTAAAAAAAATGAGTTTTAGGTTGTGTGAAATTCCCTGAGAGCTCAGAGGGATCAAGTCTCCATTTTTTCTTTTCTTTCTCTTTTGCAGTGGTGGGGACAGAACTGAGGGACTTGGGCATGCCAGGGATGTTCTCTACTACTAAGCTACATTCTACATTTTTTTGTCTTGCTAAGCTGCACAAGCTTACCTTGCACTTGTAATCCTCCTGCCTCAGCCTCCCAAGTAGCTGGGATTAAAAAAAATAAAAAAATAGGTCTCTCCTTGATCATTCTGACTCCTCTCCACCAGCTCACATGTATCCTACATTACAGAACTGGGACCTGTTAACGGGCCTATTAGAATTACACAGAACCTCTCACAACCTGCTGGCACCTCAGCCTAAGAGCAGGTCTGCCCTGCCTGACTCGTGCAGCGCCACTGGCCCTCCTCTGTGCCTCTCCACCTGATGTGCAGTGGGAGCTCAGAGGGTCTGAGCGTTCAGAAAACAGCTTTCTTCATGAAATTACTCATTAGCTCAACACTTTTCAGGGCTTCCCAAAGTCCACAAAGTGGAACGTGAACTGCTCTGGGTCTCCCTGCCACCTACTCAAGTTGAAATGCCACGTACCAACCTCACTCTGTGTGTATGTAACAACCCTCAAGATGCCACCCTGCCGGAACAGGGCCTGGTGGAGCAGGCCACTAATGCCAACCCTGCAGTAGACTAAGGCTGGAGGCCTTCGAGGTCCAGCCCAGCACCAGCAACATGTGAGTCCCTGTCTCACAGCAATAAGGGATAATCTTTCATTGTCCCTTCTCCTTAACCAAATCTCTGAATTCGTGATGCCAACGCAAAAACCACAGCTCCCCTGGGCAGCCCGCCGTGCCCTGCTTTCCCCCACTGTTCCTTGTAGTATTCTGTCTCCTGGAAAAGACCAAAATGTTCTTGCTACTGACAGACCTGCCCATCACACTGATGTTCACGGCCCTTCCTTATAACAAACATCTATTCCTTAGAGATAGCAGCATTTAATTCCTTGCAGTCCTCACCATGTTCAGTGTAAACTGACCTCTCAAAGAATATCGCATGTCGAGGACCACAATTTGTGCTTACCTTCAGCCTCACCCCCTCTGCATGGGTGTCTTTTTGCCTTTCGGATCCCGCTAAGTCCACCAGGTTGAGTTGGGAGGTCCGGATATTCACAGTCTCATTGCTTTTCTGCATGGACTCTACTGTGACTGTGAAGACAGCATGAGACCTGGAGGACTCCCTGTTCATGGACGTGGATGCCACACGCCTGTTCCTCCACCCTCCAGACAACACCTGGGCCAAAGGAAAGCATGCGGTTCAGAGGCTGCAATGGGCACACTGAGGTAAACTTAGAACACAAAATAAGCACGTGAGAATCACTCATTTTAACATGAAAAATACTGACGTAGTGGATTATCTGCTTTCTCAACACCTACACAAGATAAATGTCATCTGGAACACAGGTGGAGAACACCTATGGCCTTCCTGTTTGGAGAGATGCTATATGGGCCCAAGTTCCAAGTGATACATATCCAGCTACAAAGTGAGTTCAAGGTCAGCCAGAGTGAGAGAGATCCTCTCTCAAAAAACCCACGCCTCCAAAAAAAGAAAAAATACATACTTGCCACCAAAGTCAGTGGGAAATGTATAGAGGGAGGCAAGAAGGATTACTGGCGTGAAAGATTATTTCCACGTCATGGAAGGAGAAAAAAAGGAAGTTAGAAAGCATTGGATCTAAAACTGGTCTTGCCATTCTTTGTGTTAATGTAAAGCACAAAATCTTTTGGATCTCCTTTCTTTGTCTAGATAAAATGCTGGATTCTCAAAAAAGTCTAATTTCGACCACACAGTTTTATCAGGGTTTCTCCCCTCCTCCAAAGTACGATTTCCCCGTCTCCTTCCTAAGGCAAGCAGGACACCTCAAGTCAGGCGAGTCAGGTAACCGTGAGTACAGAACCTCACTCTGCGTACGACGCGTGGTTTGTAGCCAAGTGGACCTTCCCAAGACACAGTCTTCAATTTAAACTACATAATGAGACTGTCTCAAGAAAGAAAAAAATCACAGAAGGCTATCACATAGCTCTTAAAATTCTAAAAGAAAAACAAAATTCCAATATATATGCATTTTGATTTAAAAGAAAATGTTGCCATTGAGCACTGTGCCTATGAGGGGGCTGGGTCTGCAGGAGGGAGGGATGCACAGGCAAGCAGGACGGTGTCGGTGCTGTGCGGGACTTTTTATGTGTCCCAAGCCAAAAGCTCAGAAGCTGACTTTAGATTCCTCGTGAGAGGCCAGCAAAAACAAAAAAAGCAAAGCTCATTGGCAAAGGGGTTGCTCCCAGGAGGAACACTGACACTAACCAACTGTCATGTCCTGAGTGAGACCAACAGCATCAAAACTATGAAATCAAGCTCCCAAAGTTTCACTCTATCTCAGGAAAGAGACAGAAAAATAGTGACTTTTTTTCTTTACTTCTCATGTACATTTCATATTAAACCTTTATGAAAACTTTTTGTTTTTTTTAAATTTATTTTTATTTATTGTGTGTGTGGCCAGCTCAGCCCACCAGGGGGCGGGGCTGGCTGGCATGTGGTGCTGGGGGATTGAACCGCGGTCCCTGTGCTTTCGCTAAGCTTGTTCTAAGTAGGTGCTTTAGACCACTGAGCCATCTCACCAGCCCCTATGAAAACTTTTTGGACAGGTGACAGTACTGTGGGTTGAACTCAAAGCCTTGTGCTATCTACCGCTGAGCTGCACCTTTAGCCCCTGCTTTAAAACTTTTTAAAAAATTTTGCGACACATTCACACTAAGTTGCCCAAGTTGGCCTCGCATTTGCAACGATCCCACTTCAGCCTCCCAAGAGGCTAGGAGTACAGGTGTGGACCCTACGCCTAACTCAGTCCTTACTCCTTCTGAAATCCAGGTGCTGTGACAGCACTTTTATTACCTGAGCATCACATACATGCTCACAAAGGGTACCTGATAGGCCTCGGCGGCTGAGGTGACCACCTGCTCCACCGCACCCACGACAAAGACCCCCTTCTTGATGTGTTCCCGGAGGTACAGCCCCGCTGATGCGGAGTCCAGCAGGTCATAGATCTGCTCGTTGTAGATCTCGATGAAGGAGCACTTGCACAGGAAGCTCTTTCCCACGCCGGCCTGGAGAGAAGCACATCAGGCATCACTGCCGCAAGCCCGCCCTGCATCCCAGGCGAGTCTTGAGCTGGCCCCCACATCAGTCCCCTCTAACACTGCACGAGGCCCTGGAGGGGTCAGTGAGAAGCATCTGGAGGACCAGGGTTACGCGTCCGCACACCGAGAGCAGCAGCACCCTGGGCCCAGGGCCGGGAGGCCTACAGAGGGGCTTGGAGCCAGCTGGGACTCCATTGTCCAATACTGAGCACAGCTAGCCCAGTGGTGGGAACCTACAGCTCGTGTGCAACAGCCCGCTCTAGAGGCAGACCACAGACTTCCTCAAGAAGTTTTATTTTTTAAATTTTTTTTCTCCATAATTTTATTGAGAAACAAATAGCAATGAGACAGTTCAAACCAAATTGGTAGGACAGTTTCAATAATTAACACATTGCATACATTCTTCCTAGCGGTTAATTGCTGTACAAGATGC